GATTTAAATGCAGTCAAAATTAAAGTAGTCTGCTTCCCAATAATTGAAACAAAACAATTCTTATAGCAGTATATGTATTCTTTCCCCTGTTTGGGATAAGATAGTATTGAGAATATTAATACCAGTTTAATTAATTTATTACCAGCAGTATCTGTTCTACTGAGAATTTTAAAAAAAACCTGAGTATCTGTTCTAAAGAGAATTAAAACAGCTTATTTTGCTATCAAATAGCATGCGCGGGTTATATTAAATTCCACAGAAGCAGACTGAAACAATTAATATCAATCGTGGTATTATTATTTATATTCTACAAATTATGCTGGGAATTAGTGTTAAGTTGGATCTTAATATGATAAAAATCTAGTATGTAATGCTGTTATTACAAATTAAGAGCTATATGAATACCCTTTGTAATCAGCACTGAGGGGGAAGGACACTGTCATTGGTTTTTAATAGTGGGTTGGTTTAAAACTTTCCCATAGACAGTTAGATTTCTAAATTTCTTTCATAAATAAGCAAATTTGTCTTCTGGCTTAAGCTAATCAGAAATAACAGCCACTGAAGTATATTATGAATCAACTGGCAGACAAATTAGACAGCTTTTTTAAACATTTGGAGCCTCTTCTCTGCCCCTTCCATTCTTCAGACCAAGATATACAGCTGGTTCCTCACTTGCGATTATAACAAACAGATACGTGGGATACTCCAGATACCTTTGCGAGGTCGTGTTTCCTTCTGGATCACTGTAACATACAGTCACGTGTGTGGTAGGACACAATGAGACGGTCCACATACTACAGTATTCGCCACGTGATGTGTACCAGAGGTGGGCCTGAGCTGGACGCTAGATTCATTATCACATTCACCCTAACTTACACATATAATCTTCTTGCATTTGCCCTCCAAGCTTTTCAGTGCCCGAATCCCGTTGATATTCTCCACCAACATCCTGCTGGGCCTACCAAGGACATTAGCTCTGACCTTGGATGCATCTCCATCTCCTCCTCCTCCTCCCTTGAATCATTTTCACTCTTTCCCCAGGCTGCTAGTTATGTCAGGGTTGCCCTTCTGTTTGCCGGGCTACCTTGCCGATCTCATTCCACTATGCCTAAAACTTACAGCTGCCACCGAGCCTAGGAGAAGCAAGGCATGAAGATGAGGAGAGAAACAGAAATATGGATGCTATAAAGCTATATTTTATAGGCTACAGCATGTCCATATTCTGTATGCACACTGCAAAAGCAATTTACAGTAGAAGTAGTTGCTTCTTTGCTAAACTCATAAGGGGCTGTATAGTTTCCCCAAAATCCTGCTAACTCTTCTCGATGCTATTAACAGGCATAGCCACTTCAGAATAAGAAGTGATCAATTCATTAATGTTTCCCCTTTAAAAACAGTGTAACGAACTATCTGCTCAGTTGGAATAAATACAGTCACAGTCTGTCTTTTAAACAGCATTATTATTAGTACTAGTAATAGTAGTTGTTGTTGTTATTGCTGTCATCATCATCATGATGTTAGATAAATAAAGTCATTAGCCAAGTCATTTTGCCTGATGTCACATAAAATATTTCCCCCCTTGGAGAAGTGGTGGGTGAACCAAGAGAGCAGGCTAAAAAGCGAAGGAGTGCTGAAATGGTACTTCTCCGCTTTCACACAGAATTCAGGTTCCTGAACGCCATGACCTTATCTTCACATATCTTGTGTAAGACGCATGCATTTGATACCTTTTGGGACCTCTGGAAAACCCTGAAGCTTAATGAAAGGAAGAAGGGGATGGAGTAAAGGGACACGGGTAGGTAATCCGGGGAAAGAAAGAGACAACGAGGAAACTTCTGGTAACCCATGATCGTTGCCAAGTACAAAAAACTCCCGTTGGTCCAATGGCTTAAACTCTTAGTTAATATAAAGTCTAATTATTTTTGCAGTTTGGTATTTTTATTAAACGTGCACGGACATATGAAACTTCCAGCTAATAGAACACATGTGTAGGTAGAGAGCTCTTTCTGGCATCGTTTCCTTAGTTCCGTGGACAGCGATGCCAGAAAAACAAGATCTAAATTCAATGCAACTACCAGGACAGAACAGTCAAAGGGGGAGGGAGAGAGAGGGGGAAACAGCTGGCAACGCTATGCTGAACCATCTAGTATTACCAGGCTTTGCAAGACTGGAAATGTAGCTATCAGCTTGGAAAATTCTGACAGATAACATTTCCCCCATATAGCTGAACGGCAGATTTCAGCTACCTTTTGTTTCGGTTTCTATCGACTTACCGCAGTTCTGTCCGTCACACCCTAGGCTGCCTGTAGCTGACAATTGAAGGGCATGGGAGCTGTACAAAATCTGCTCAGAACTGGAAGGCCAGCAAGCATTTGGTAGCATCCTTCAACTAACAGGTGGAATATGGAAGCATGAGATTAATTGTCAACTAGAATTGCTAGCAGTCGAAAGTAAGAGCTGCTGACATTTAGGAAACTAAGAATATTTGGTCGCTGCTCAAAAGAAACTGAGTAATTATTCCTTTACTGACAGCCTTCAAGTCCCTTGGTAAAGCAAATTAAAGCT